TTTCGTGTTGATGATTGCAAGAATATTCTTCCTGTGTTCCTTGTCCATTCTGCGGAAGACAGAGGTACCGGTAGTACTACTGTACGTATACGTACTAGTACTACGTAGTACGTAGTACTAGTACTAGTATTTGGTTAGCCAAGGAAATCATGCGGCGAGGTTTTTACAGAGGTTCAGTAAACGGGGCAGAATTGCGACATTTGAAGGAAATTCGCAATACAGTACTACAGTAGTACTCCAAGTACAGTAACTTTGTATACTCTGGTATATCAGGATCGGTTTGATCCAACCGGTTACGTACTGCAGGAGTTATGTGCCTTGACAGTGGTTATAAGAGCATTTACACCAATAGGTAGGTATGGATGCCACCCCATAAAACTATGCCATAAACCGTTTTAAGGCTGCAAAAAATTCCCAAAGTCTCATATCCCATGAAAAAACCAGTAACATTATTACAAAGTTGTCTGGATACCAGCTGAATCATGGAAAAATTACTACGTAGTACTCGGAGTATTCGATTTCCGATTGTGAAGTGCAAGACTTCACTGTCAACGTGAACACAACCCTCCGTAAAAAAAGTGGACCAAATCAGTCCTTAATTTTATGCCATTCTCAAGAAAATTGTGGCATAAAGGTTTGAACTTTGGTGGCATCCACACGCACAAAATCTCGAAAAATGGAATATTTCGATTTTGCCAACTATTCTCTTGGAAAAACGGCCATTTTATGCCATTTTTTGAGGCATCCAGAACAACGAGTAAATTTAATTCGAAGTGAATACACACATACATCTGTATATACGTAATGCATGTATTTGGCCCGCCTTTGCCGGCAAGGGTTGGCCAGGGGCCACGCTATCTACCAGTATTAGGGCAACCAAAGTTGCCATAACTCAATTCGCCAACACCATGACGACCATCACCTTCCTTTCGGCATACACGCTGGGTCTGGCCGCTATCGCCAACTACGCACAGGCCCACGGCCGGTTGATTGCCCCGCCACATCGTGGGTACATTGGCCAGTTGGACCAATTCGCTGGGATCATTCCATTCGACTACGACGACCATAATCTCAACGGTGGTGGTATTGCGGCCACGTCTGGCGGTAAATTCGGCGTGTGCGGCGACTCGTACTCCGGGAACCGGCAGCACGAAACCGGAGGCACCTACGGGACGTTTCCCACCAACGGCGCCAAAGCTATCGGGGCGTGCTATGCCCCGGGGTCCACCGTGGACCTCCAAGTCCAATTGATGGCCAACCACAAGGGGTACTTTGA